TTTGCCTGGGTCTTCTCAGTTGGGCGCTTGGCTTTGTCAACCCCAGTTCCTCACCAGCTGGGAATGCACACTAGTTTACGGGGTGGGTGTTCACAGACTGGTCCTTTGCTTTGACTAAGAAAAGGAATGGCCCAGGAGGAGCTCGTGGGTTAGGCAACTGACTTTATGCAGACATCTTTTGCTGTATCTCACATTGGTTTACCAAGCACAGCAAAGTACAAGGGAAATGGGAGAGATGAAGGAGATGTTTTTCACCTCTTTGTTTGGAAAGCTCATTCTTGGATAACATGATTTCTATTCCCTCTTGCTACTTGACAATTGTAGTACCACATTGTCAGGGAATTGAGAGCTGATCTGGAGGAAGGAATGAGAGAGACCTGTTAAAGTGTGGAAGAAGGAGAAGCCATTAGGGAGGGACTCAGACAGGTGATTCCACAGTGAGGAGACAGAAAGAGGTGTTAGAAAGAAACTCAAAATATGCCCACCTTGATTTTGTTTAGTGGGAAAGAAGGAAGCTTGGAGAGGCTTTCAAGACTGATGTCAGCCCCTCCAGAAAAAGGCATACAAGAATGCTGCTTTATTGTTAATGAGTATAATAAAAAAAAAAATCTGTCCAAGGTTCTCTCTGACCCATTTCAGTGTTAGTCTAGTTTGTATATAATTAAAGCGTAAGTTAGTATATTCTAAAATTTAATTATTGATAGATTATCTCCTGAAGAACTTCGAAAATGAACCTGATACCTTCATTTGTATATACAGAGAGAAGACTTCACTTCAGGTCCAGCACAAGTGAAGGGATCTTACCATAGAAGGTTGGATGTCCTGTCTAAAAATACCCATTTTCTCTTCCATTCCAGCTTCATCCCTTCCTTCAAAATTCTCAGTTTTACAATAATTCCATAGAAGGGGTCTATTTGGATGAGAACGGAGACCTGGCATCAGACTTGGACATTGTGCACTGGGTGATTTTCTTGAATAAGTCGGTTAGCAAAGTGAAATTTGGGAGTCTAGATAGACAAGGATCCCAAGATGTCATGTTTGTGATCAACCCAAATGTGACTGCAGAGATGGAAGGGCTGAACAAGGTGGGGAAAATTTTATTTCACTCTCTCTGAAGCTCCTACCACCAGGATTGCATTCTTTGGGCATGGAGTGGTTTGGAATGTGATCTAGGTTCATTAAGCAAGACAATATATTCCTTGGGTAGATGTCAAGGTGTCTGTGAGAAATATACTCTTAAATATTTAAGTAAACTATTTATTCATCCTGTGCAAATGTAGGTAGATTTGAGCCATGGGAGAACAGAAATCATTTTGCCAGCAAAATATCCATCCAAACTTTCCTTGAGTAATTTAGTATCTACATTTAGATTCTAGAACTAAAAATTGTACTGTGTGAAAAATTAGAAGAGAGGATAATATGGAAGTAAGATAGAGCTGAATATGTTCAATGAATGTTTTTGCAAACTTCGAAATTGAGTAAACCTCGGTGTAGAATTGGAGATCATTAAGCCCTTCTCCCTTTGCCTCCTTCCATAAAATAAATTCATTTTCTGAATGTTCTTCCTCTCTGTCCTCAGCCCTTGCCTCCTTCCAGGTGTGTGGAACGCTGTCGTTCTGGATTCAGGAAGGTGGCTCAGGAAGGGAGGCCCATCTGCTGCTACGATTGTCTTCCTTGCACTGAAGGAATGATCTCCACCATGGAAGGTGGGTGACACTGAAGGAAAGGGACAGCTCAGAAAAGTGCCTTCACTTTGATCTTATCCATGCAAGGGCTTTTCAAAGGAATGTCTTGCCTTGACATCTTTCGTGTCCATTTCTCTCTGTATTTGTAACCTGGGGTAGCAGATGAAAAGATACGGGACCATCTAGGGCTTACTGTTACCATGAATATGGGATTTCATGGGCTTCATCTTGTCTGCAGACCTTTCATGTATCACTTTGCTAGTCATCCCATTTCTCTGAATAGTGAGAATGACTCTAGTTCCAGGGCATAATGATACTGGTTGAGTCTTTGGGAGAGGCTTGATCAGGTCTTCTCAGACTTGTGCCTGTCTGGATGGAACCATTTCTAGTTTACAGTTTCAGATTTCCTGAGAATCCAAAATAAAGGCAACTGTGTAGGATTCCAGAGGCCAATCACTTCTCTTTGTGCCTCTTCCACTTTCCTTATCTTCAAAAAATCAAGAACTCAAGTTTTCCAAACATGGGGCTTACACTGAGCAGGGATGGTATTTCTGGTGGCTCAATGGCCCTTCCAACTCGTGGGTAGTCTCTAAGCAGGGTGGAAAGAAAGAAATCATGAGCCGTGGCTGAGCCACACTGCCCTCTTACTCTGCTGGGAAGACGACCACTATTGAAAATAGGAACGCCTGACGAAGCGCTCAACTCACCTTGAAACAACCCTTAAGGTCGCCTCCATGTATATTTTCTTGCTCTATGTCAAGTGTTTTCTGACTTCAGCCAGAATAAGCTGTGGTATGTCGTCCTTCACCTGCAGTTCTTTCTATTGCAGAAACGGGGGGGGGTGTTTGTCCCTTGATGCACTTTTGAAAGCCTGGATTCTTTTTAAAAAGTTGAGCAATGGAATGGTAAAATGGTCTGTCCTTCCTTCCTTCCTTCCTTCCTTCCTTCCTTCCTTCCTTCCTTCCTTCCTTCCTTCCTCATGATGAAACCTTCCTCATGATTAAAAACTTCATAGTCAAATGAAGAACAGTTCAAGCCATTTCCCCTTCTAGCTAGTGTGAAAAGAAGAAGCATAACACTCTGGTGGGTTTTTCTCTTTAGTTCTC